TTTTTTTTTTTTTTTTTACCATTAATCACTCTTTTCCCTAAGAATACCACCTTTAAAAAGAGTATTTTAATATCAGATTCCATCCTAGGCCCATTATCTACCTCTTCTATGTTTTAAAATTTTGTAACAATTCCTTAACATTATTTTGATGCCCTTGATATATGTCTTATGGCTTTGCAGGAAAAAAGCTGATGCCTTACTATGCTATATAGTATGGGATTTTAACCAGGGGCCCCTGAACAACTACAATATTGTAAACTTTGGGGAATTATGTACATTATACGCATTTTCCTGGGTAAGGAAGTTCCCAGGATTCATCGGTCTCCAAGAGCCTGTGACCCTAAAAGGTTAAGAACCATTGCTATAATGAATTTATGCCTAGATCTAATTATTACTAATTTTGTTTTGCAGCTACCCAATCTTCTACATAAACCTAACTTCAGATAGTACCATACAAATGCTAATGTTACTAAATGTCCCTTACTGGATCAGGACTATGTAAAAGAAAGGAAAAACTCTGAACAAATTTTTTAAACATTTAGTTCAATGACAAAGCTCTTAGAACAAAACTGGATTTTGGAGCAATGAAAAGAACAGAAGGGTTGGCATTCATTTTTCTGTTGTTTCCATGTTGAAGTAGTAGTACTATCACTTCCCTTGCTGGAAAAAGCAAATTATCTGAAGAAGCAAAGGTTGGTTCTTGCTGGTTTAAGTGATGCAACAGTTCTTAACGGACAGCTGCGTCCAGGGAAGACCTTCCTCTGGCTTTAAAAATTAAGTAATCCTCTTCTGTCATCCTCACTGGCATCTCCACACCCCTCCATCTCCCAAGTTTTCTTCTTTTTGGCCCAGTTTTACACAGTTATTAATCAGCTTTAGTAAGGTAATGCACTTGAGCTTTCTTGCTCAAGGAAATGGAATTGGCCTGTTTCGGTTTGAAAAAAGAGACAGAAACCACCAAGAGGGGAGAGGAAATGAAGCAATATTTTGGGAAGAATAAGGGCAAAAAAAAGTTATTTTGTTATTATATAAATTTAAACCAACTTTCCTCCTCATGTAATAAAAGTATAAGTTGTCGATGACAATTTCAACATATTTCAGTTTTTCTAATTGGCACACCCCTACCTGCTAGTAAATAAGGATGAGAGAAGCCACCACGAGTTTAATACATAAAGCAGGTTAAAGGGAAAAAATCTGTGCTGAGGTGAACAAAAGTGGAAATGTTCATTTGACAATGAAGTGGAACCTAATGCCTCGCATCATTTCTGTACATAGCATTCTATTAGTAATAACTAACACATATTATTCTGACCAACAAAACAAGACAGTATTATACTCATAACATTAGAAAATACTCATGGCACATTACTGAAGAAAGTAAAGTAAAATTAGGCTTCTAAACATCTAAACTATAAAGAAGTCTTCCTTAATCTTAAAAAAGAAACAAACAATTAGAAGACTAGATGACTCAGTTAAAAATGGTCATCTCACCAGCACGATCTGCAAGCAAAAGTATATGAAACCCTATAAGGTTCTTTCAAAGAAAAACCTCAAATAAGAAACACTTATATACTGAAATATTGACATAACATTTTCTAATACCAAATCCTAATATAATACTGTACAAACAGCAACCAAAACATTTTAAAGGCTTAAACCTCTCATTTAAACTTTATGAATTAAAAGTATACACATCATTAAATTAAAAACAAAAAAAACCCTTAACCAATTTAATCATTTCTTTCAGAAATTACAAATTGAATTCTCATATCAATTTGTCCAGTAAAGATAGGCAGTAAAATTATTTAAAAAAATTAAACCACATAGTAATCATTTGGTTAAAATTGGATATTAGCACTGGCAGTGTTTTCAAGAACAGTTTTACTTAAATAAGATACATTTAGCTATACATATATTTTTTTAATGCCTTAATCTCAAATTCTACCAGTATTTTCAGGGTTGGAGAATTCTAAGAAGTCCATTCCCTATTTCTGTGACTTGCTGCTCTCAGCGGGAAGAGTAAAGGCTATTTATTGGCTAAAGGCGATCAAGTGTACTGAATAGAACTGAGCTTCATCAGTCCAACTATTCCTATGCTGAACAAAGTTTTCTTTTGAATGAGATTTTTAACTTTGTGGAGAAAAAAATAAATAGAAGAGTTTTCAAGTTAATAAAGTACAAATGAGTTCTTTAGGGCAGAGACATGCCTTATTCAAGTTGGATGAGTCATCCAGTTATATAACATTAGCATACATTAGATTATAAATTCTATTCAAATGTAAACTCCTTGAGGGCAAGGACCTATTCATTTCTTTATAGTCCAAGGTGCTTAGCCTAGAACTGTGTTCTGTGGATAACTACTCAATACATTTGTAGAAAAGCTGAGTCTAGCTGAATTAATATATGACCAAATGGGTGATCACTAAAAGTACTGCTATAATTCAGATAATTTGAATTACATAATTGATTTATTGACTCAAATATCTTAATGTTATGTAGTAAAAAAAATTAAGTGGCTGGAGCAATACACTAATTGCATAGTAGTCTAGAAGCAAGTTAATGCATTATAATTAAAAAAGTTTGAAATAGTTCTAAAGCTGAGTAAGAAAAATACCTCTTGGATTTTTAAAAGTTAATGCTAATATTGAGAACTGCTTCTGTTATCTTTAAAAGTATATTCCCTAAGAAAGTAGCAATTAAGAGTTTGCCTTGCTAAAACAGTAAGAGATCAGTGACGACCTTTAATGTTAGGGTAACAAGAGTGCTATACAAAATGAATTTCCTATTAAAAGCAGCAAATTGGGGTCATCCTATTAAAACATATAAATGAAAGTACATTTTGAATAGTATATTATCATCACACGTGAACCTTTTCTCTTCAAATAAAACAACATACAACAAATCAAGAAATTTTGAGGCATTGCCCTGAGATGCTAATTAGCACACAAAAGGGGGTGGGAGGTCAAGGATTTAAGTGGTACAAAAATGAAGTGCACAATAGAGGTGCAAAAGTGCCTTTTAAAAGTGTGGTTGGTTCCCTACCACCATCATTACCTCCAGGAACCAAGAACACACACAGTCCCCGCTGTTGAAATGTATACTTCCTTCCTGTATTTTTATAATGAAAAACTGTATCTAGTATGGCCATTCTGACTCATGTGGAAAAAATCTAAAATCACACTTAATACAGTTTTCTCTCACCTCCAAGCCTAATTTCAGTCCTAATAACTTTAACAGAGGAATATGTTAACCTCTTTGTTATTTAAAGACTCTCAAATAGAAAAGGCTCTAAATATGGTGTGATGGTTTGAAATATAATTTTCCATCATATTTTTCACTTGTGATTTAAGATTTTGCATTTCAAAATCTAATTCAAGATTTTGAAATTTCTACAACTGAAAACATGAGGCTACTTTAAAAATTAAGGACCTGACTTTTTGTAACAGGGATTTGGTTTTCAGTACTAGTATGCCTGGTAATCTATACTAGAAGCACTGGTATTCATTAAATGCACATTTAATGCTTTCAGAGCCATAATTTAAAACATTATCATACTTCGCACTCTACCACAGATTTTAGACATTAAGCATTTATTTGTAAGTTAAGTACGGAATTGGTTCTGTAATTCCAACTGTTATGAATTTCTAAATATAAATAGTACTTGTTTTTCTTCATGCTAGATTAAAATATAAATTAAATACAATTAAGTTACATTTAATCACCTCACAAATAAGAGGGATATAATGAAAAGATTTTGCTGGTATGTAACTACTTAAATCTGAGACATTTCACATTACTTTTCCCACTACTCCCCTAACTTTACATTAGTTTTAAGGCTATATGTACAAATATGTATATTTCCAAGTTATGGAAAAAACAAAACAAAATTGATTATATTACCTTTTATACACAAAGTTTTGATTTTGTATTCAATGTTGTATTTTAATAGTTTTCTAGTGGGGAATCTGCCTACTGGATGATTAAATTACATGGCGATAAATACAATTTTCAACCTAAAGACAAAAATACAAAAGGGCACAGAACAGTAGTCTTTTCAATGTGACAGATTTTAAAACTTACTTTTACATGCTTAATCAGAGGAATTTAAGCCTAAATTACGTTAGGTTATTTTTATATCTACAATATTTTAAGCTTCGAAAATTATTTTTAAAGGCCAACAACTAAATATTATCAACATGCTATATTTCAAATCACAAATACATCTTAACTACCTGGAATCTAAAGACATGGGCCAATTAAAAATCACAGCCAAACACACTCACGAACACACACACACCTACCATAGAGTGTTAGATTGTCAAGCTTTGACAATTATTTTAATTAAACAGTAGGCAAATTCAAGCTGATACATATCTTAATGAAAAATAAGTAGCCAGAAAAAAACCCATTTTAAAAACAGATTAAGGAAAAACAGAGACTTAAATCTTTTAGTCTTTCTAATGGAAGGGAAACAGTTCCATCTATGCCTTGAGTAACAGGATTTTCCAATTAAAAGAGACTAACATCTTTCCCCATGAAAAACTTCTCATTTACAATGGCATGGTGTTTTAAAAGGGCAGGGTAAAGGAGGAATTACACATACATGATTAAATTTCTTGTTTGTTAAATCAAGCTTTATTGATAAAATGGAATTCAGAATATCTTACTAGGAACAGCAGCAGGCCCAGCCAATCATGATAGCAAAAATGTGGCAGTCTCCTACTATAGGTAGGAAGCTGCTGCTTATCAATTAATAATTAGATGTAAGGACCTGTAAAGGAGGTGCAAAGAATCAAGGCATTTTAGCCCCAAGATTGATATTCTTATGAATATACTGTATTACCTGCAATACTCATGGCAACAAGTATAGAACCTAAAAGACAATTAAATGAAAGGACCAGCTTTATCAACAATGCCAATCCCACTGCCAAGAACATTAGATAGGTTTCAATAAGCTCCCTGGATGTTTGGCTTTATAAGCTTCTGGAATTATTCTCCATAATCATGTGCACATTTGAGCATCTAGCTGACATGGTTGCTGCTCTCCCTGTCCCGACCCAAGTCCAAACACAACATGACTTGAAAGGGGGCTATATATCTGTTGCATCACACAACAAGCCAAACATTTCTTATAACGTTGATAATGATTTAAAGCAGTTCATAATTAAATATGAGCGTTTTGTACAAGGACAATTACACTTTACAAAAAACAAAATCATACAACAAAAGTTGCTGGAGTCTGATTTACAACATGAATTATGGTTTGAAATCACGTTTACATAAGTCTCAAATTTACAAAAAAAAAAAATCAGTTCTGGGCTGTTGTACTGCTGAAGTTCTCTGGTGTAATCACTCTCACCCATGTCATATGCCCTTCTTTAAAGTTGAGGATGGATGTTTAAAAGGTTCAATGAAGATGAGCTGTACTCTCCTTTGGAGGCGAAGGTAAACTCCATGGCTAGATGAGCAGTTTTACCACATATCATCAGTTGATGTAGAGTCCTTTATAAAAGGGAACAAAGCAAAACAAGGAACTAAATTAAAGCTCAGAGGTGCCAAAATACATTACTTTCTGGATAATGCAGAAAGATAAGGTTTTGTAAAGTTGACTTTAGAATGTAAATGTTTTTAAAAGTACATAAGTATGTGTATATGTGTATATCAAGTATCAATATTTAATCTGTTCAAAAAATTGTTAACTCTTTATTTTGGAATAAAATAGTATTTGAAATATAATTTACCAAGAGGTTGACTAAATATATTTCTAAGCCAATAAAACTACTAAAAATTTTTAATGTTCTTTAATAAACCTCAATTTATTTTTATACTTTTATTGCACAAGAAGAGATTAAGACCTCAAGTAATATGAGATTTGAGGCGGCTTCTTAATGCAATATATAAAATATTTCAGAGCTGTGCCCAAGTGATTTGAAGTTACTTTTCTGTAAACAATATACAACAAGAGAACAGGAAACTTAATTGGAAAATATGACATTCTGTCTATTTATATAAACAGAATTCTCTACTTTAACATTTACATGAAGTATATACTTCAGGGTTCTTGGCAAAGGTATTTCCAACCATAAAAACTATTTAGTACAGATGGACATTCTGAAGTTCTGTTGCAGCTGCTTATAAAACTCAGAATAATTCAAAATTGCAAGTAGAAATATTATTTCCAACTTGAAAAAAACTTAGTGGAGGCAAATCTTCTGAAGTTGATTGCTTTTAGAGACTTAAAAAATCCAGAATAACTTAAAAGGAATAACTCATTTATTTTGAGAGAGCCTAGCCACTCACCATGGTTATGTCCTCAATCACTAGAACTATGGTGCAGGCAGAGTTCAGAGCAATCAATCAGGGGTGGGTGTAAGAGAATGGGTGCAGTGAACAGCTCTGCAACAACAGGTAGGAAGGATATGCATTTAGAGTAGAGGAAAAAGGAAAGCAGAGGGAGCTAAAATGCTACTTACAGTGTCATCATTTTTGTAAGGATTCAGTCTATTGTAAACAGCTTCAATTACATTCCGCCTAAATTTTAAAAAATGCAGAAAGTTAATTCTTCAGAGCATAAAACTATTTAATAACTCACAGCCAGGTGTTCATTATAATGTCAAAGATAATCTTACACTTAGAAATTATTTTAGTTCTATTTCTTACTGTCAATAAGTGAGCCTCATTTTAAGATACTTGGGGCCCAATGTTAAAGAGGTAAATTTACTCTAAAATGTAACATTCCACCAACCCAATTAATAGAAGACTAAAGGTCACTTTTTTTTTTTTTAAATCAGTCTCTATGGTTTTCTATTTGAACTAGCTTAAGTGGTTATGAGTTAGCAATGATGACGCAGTTCTTAAGGTATAGTATTAATATATTCTGGTTAAGAGCTGAACTAGTTTTGAAGTAAAAGTAACTGACTTCTGTTGTAAAATAATTTTTTTATATTTTACATGTAAATTTGTGCTTTTCATAATGTCCTTTTAAAAAAGTTCTAATTGAAATGTGAAATATAATATTTCCCTGACAAGTCTAAAAATTGGTTTTTGAATAATATTTTGTTTAAAAATCTGTAGTGGTATTTATAAGTTAAATCAATTTGAAGCAATTTTATAGACAATCATTTCACAGAAGGTCATTTTGGAAAAAAAGGTTTCCAAAAAATAAAAGCTTCAAACAGGAATTTTTACAATTACTATTTAATATAATGATTATAAAGAACATGGCTATACTTATGGAACACAGTGAAGAATCAAGGAAATTAGTCAATATATCTTTGTAGGTCAATTATATGAATATCTGAGGTAAAAATGTTTTAAGTCTTAAATTATAAAATAGCTTAGTCTCCACTTTAGTTTATAAAGATGTAACCTTACTATTTAACACAGATTAGTCTAGTTCTATGAAATAAAGTGCAAAAAGAAAAAGGCAAGAACTGCACCCTCATACCAAATCCCAACCAACAAGCAATCGACAACTAAAAACATTAGGAAAAGTCAGATGTAGAAAAATGGCCCAGATGCAGGAGGAGAAAGATGCTCATCTCTGGGCTGTTAAGTTATCCAGGGATTGACAAAGTCAAATTATAATAGTAGAAATAATAATGACATAATTTTGTACTGCTATGTAATTTAGTTTTAAAAATTCTTTCACTATGGGGAAATAAATGTAACCCAATCTCTACTAAAGACAGCCTTCAGTATAATTAGCTACAATGACATTCTGATAGCTATTCTAAATATGCACCATACAGCATTAAATACTGAAAAACACTGAACCACAAATTAAACATTTTGAAGACACAGATAATTGCATCAATAGGTAAATACACATTTGATCAACAAACACTTAGCATTTTCATGTACTGAGATAAACTGTAAGAGTATGCAGAATGTAACTTACTTGCTTGCCAATTCACCCCCTGGTGGGAGGCTGGGGATGTTCTCACTCGCTAATGTGCGCATCACATGGACTAAGTCAGGGACGCCTTCCCCCTGCTTCTTTATGATTTCTGGGAATCAGAAGTACTTTTTTTGTAAGTGCTATCCAAATTTAATAATAAAAAAACTGAAACAAAGATAACTTAGGTTTTTAAAGATGGCATTTACCACATCTGAGATTTTCTAAACTGGTATTAAGAAAAAAAAAAATCAAGTTGTCTTTTGATGCACAAAATGACATAAAAGATATTTTCCATATTAACTGCAAAGAATAAAAATAAGACAAAAATATGAAAACAAAATTTCACGTTAAAATCAATGTAATACATAAATCAGAAATATGTGTGTACAAATGAGAACATTCTTCTTAGATGCCAATTAGTTACTCCTGAAATGAACTCCTCTCTTTAGACTGGAAACATGTTTCCTGAACTCTGCCCTGAAAATACACTTCAGATTTTTTTAAACAATTTCAAGATTTGAAAAAAATCCTTTAAGTATATGGGAATTTACTGATTACATACTAATACAAATCATTTTTACATATGTTTATATTCACAAAATACTTAAGTAGAATGTGCAGATTAAGTTATGTACTTCAACACCATTCTGTTTCATTTTTGTCTAAAGTATCTTTAAACAATACATAATACCATTTCCTTAGTTGATTATTTGAACAAAGCCTATAAAATGGAAAAAAAAATATAAATTTCGTGACAAATTAAAAAAAACTGATAAACCATACAACTGTATTTTAAAGTATTAATTTCAAAACATCCAGTTATTAAACGAGTATAGTGATACGATCTGCAGCGTTGCCATGCAGATACATATTGTTATTCATATCACAGAATACCAACAATTATGTACAACTTAAAAGAACTCTCAAACTATTCACTTTAAGTACAAGAAGTCTTTACTTGGAATTTTAGCATATTTATTCTAAATGCAATCATGCCAAAGGTATTTGTGTAAGTTGTATGTTCAAGTTTTGTTCAATTTTTTGTTTTTCAGTGCTTATACTAAGATATTTTCTTTGTCACCACTGGGACAAGAAAATTATCATTCTAGTTCTCAATCTGTAAATACCTTTGAAAATAACAATGCATATAAAGAACTTTCATCCTTTAATCAAAATATTAGTTCATCATTAAAGCTACATATTAAAAGACAGACAATGCTACCCATATTTTTTTAAATGGCTCAAACTATCCTTTTAGAATTAAGGCCAAATTTTACCATCTATTATATTTTGCCTTTTTTTTTTTTTTTTAAACCAGTCTTAAATCTGAACAAAAAGCAAGGATCTCAGATTTGGTTTGCCAAGTTCCTTTATTGTGTAATCTTTAACATCTAGTATATTTATTCTACATGGTTCTAATGCTGAAAATCTGCTGTACAAAAATAAAGGGATTTGATGTTTACCTAAACTGCACAATTTCACAATCTAAAGCTCTATTACACTTTAACATACAGTCTCTGCTAAGCCAATACAATTATTGGATAGATAACTAGACATAATAGGAATGAACACTGATGATAAATTCAATCAATGATCGTTTCAGGTCTAAAAAACATTACCTTGAATCGTCTATATTTGATGTATCTTACATCTCCTTTGTCAAAATATAAATTAGGATATTTTAATTCTGAAGACAATTACAAGATGACATATTCTTAAAATAAAATACTGTGAGGCTTTCAAAACTGTTAACATCTCCTATTCCACATGGGATAATACATTTAAACTATCTGACCATTAATGCTACACTGCTTGCTTTGCTTCTCTCTGCTTAGAAAAAAAAAGAATTTTAAGAAATATTCTTTTAGTTGCTCTTGGACTATACAATTTAATTAGAATTGTAAAAAGACTAAATGCTTTTTGTTAAAGAATATATATGTATAGAAAACCTATGTTTCACATACCTATATACAGACACACATTTAACTCCTCCCCGTTCCCCCCACCAAGTCTGAGGGCTTCTATCAGTTATCTCCCAATTAGCAACTTTAAAGCTTGGGCAGTTGATAGCAAAGATTTAAAAAATATGTATGTATAAGTGTATTCTTAAATTGGTTTAGAAGGACTACAACCTTGGGTTAGGGTATGGTTTAAATTACGAGCTGAATTTTTTCAGAACCCTGGAGTCACGTATTTTGAAGGGCACAGATAACAGGAGAGCTGAAAATGAAAAGACTCTGTCCTTTTCTGTGGTGTAAACAGAGAAGCCAAAAGTATTCAAAACAAATAAAATGAGATTTAGTAGGTCACGGCAATTTAATGAAGTCATGTATTGAAAGAAAAAGGTATTCGATGTCTGTTTTGGAAGCTAAATGCAGTATTTTTCACATTTTAAGTCATAACTTTTATAATGCAAATAGTTACATTCTTTCTATGTTTTAAATAGTTTTAGTTAATGGAATGTTTATTCTCTAGTTGCAATCTCATCAACTCTACCTCAGTAAAAAATATCATATTTAATTTATGACATAATAATCTCCAACTGAATGGTGTAAGTGTAATAACACTACAACATCAAAAACAGAGAATTAATGTAACTGTTCAGGTGGCAATTCTGGCTTGATGATAAGCAATATAAAACTTATAATGTAACATAAAATTATATATCTAAAATTATTTAGAATTGTATCAAAAACTCAAGAGTGTACACTAAAAAGTAAAGTGGTAATTCATTTCTAAAATTTGATCCCATTTCATAGTAAATAAAACTAAAATACTTATTCTTGTTTCTTTAAATCAGTAAGAAAAGATGTACATTCAAGTTAAAGTCCCAATAAATTAAATATCGACTTATCTCAACACATATTTTTCTTAGGCTTTTATACTTTTCCACTAACCAGTAGTTTGAACCAATGTGCTATGACCTGGTACCATTCTAAATATTTTACTTTATTATATATAAATAACTTATATTGAAATGATTCATTTAAAATATAAAAATTCTAAGACTCCTGGTAATAGTGAAGAAACAAACTCATTTGAATAGTATGTCCAATGAATGAAATAGTAAACAGTATATACACATATTACTAGATATATCACTATCAAGTATGGGAGAGCAATAAAAACATAATAGCAACTCTAGATAGTACTGCAAATCAAAACCAATCATGATTCTAATATCAGATTGATTAAAACTGATATCAAAAGGTAAAAAGGAGAAAACAAAATTAAAGTGTGTATTAATTTTAATAATACAGGCAGGATATAATAGTGCATAGGTCAATGCTTACATGCTATTAGATATCTTTAATGTGCAAATTAATGATGAGGAGCCCAAAATGCATTTTAATGCTATTATAGGCACGTCAAGTTTTTCTACATAAAGAAACTGCATAATTAATATGCTTACTGAATATATGCAGTAAACTGGAATTCTCTGGGGAGACTTAATATTTATACCAAGTTAGTAGCTTCATCAAAGATCATTTAAATTTTTTCAAATATTTAAAGGAATTACACTTGAGAGTTACAACACCTGTCTAATTGTCTCAAAATAATCTGCAGAATTCTGACAAATATATTCCCGGAATTCCCAGCTTATTTCTTGATCTTATTCAGCATTTACATTTCTGCCAGATAGAGACCTAGTATGTCTTCTATTCAGGTCTGTGTTGTCCAGGTGAGGCAGTTTAGGGCTTAGGCAAGAAAGCCTTAAAACAATTTAAAATAAAATTTTAAAAGCTGTGGTACATGAAAATTGTTAATAACCAGGCTGTGATCTTCAAGTTAGTAAAAAAAAAACAAAAACAAAACCTAAAGGTCTTAAATTCATATACACAGCTTTACAGAGAAAGATGGCATTCAAATTACCATCATGATCTGTTTATAATTAAACAAACCACAAATCAGACTTTCCTGACATAAAGTTATTCATGCCAGTGAATTCATCAAAAATTTTAAAAGCATACAAACACTTGAGCCTTTAAACAAAAGTATCCTGAACAGAATGTACAGGGCAACACTGGTTACTATTTCTAATATAACTGATAAAACAATCACAAACATCTAAACAGCTACTATAGAAATGCCTTTCCCAGTTCTGTATACTAAACACTGAATGTCAAAGACATGTAACGATCTGAAAGCTAAAATGTTATAGTTTGGTTGTGTTGAGGTTTTTCTTTAATAAAGCTACTTATTTTTTGTTAAATGATCCACCTTCTACTCTGCTTTCCAGGTACTTGTCCAACTCTGCCTCCTTCTTCACTGCTTCTGGTGATACTTTGGGTGCATTTGGAAAACAGATCAATATCACACTCATGTTGTCTCGACTTCCCTAGGAAGAAAAAAGTGTGAGAAAATATTTTGGTTTTTTTTTTTGTTCTTGAAAGCCTTGAGAACATTTACAGTCACTCCAATTATAATTATACTTGTTTTAGAGAACATATTTTTTTAAGGAGAAAAAAAAATATATATATGTGGAGAAGGCACCCCCTCCAACCTCCTCATACAAATACAATATATATAGTACACAGTATAACCAACACTCTATAAGACAGGAGAGAAACAAGACAGGTTAAATTCCAATGTAACAATCGTTTAAAAAAATTCTATAAAAGAAAAAACATTCCTGAACATTTACTGGTGGCCTACTTAACTTGAAGTGATACCTAAACACAAATACACATATATAGACATAATTCAGTGAAGTAGAAAATTCTAGTGGTATTCTTCACAACATTTACATTTAAAATATATTATAATAAATTGTGAGGCTAATTAGTTTCATAAGAAGAACTATGGAATTAGGAGTAAAAACTATATAAAGTTTATAAACTAGGATTTAACTTTCATAATTCAAAGAAATTGACTTTTTAGAAAGCACATTCATTTTTAAAGACACCTAGATATTCAAAAAGCTAAAATTAAAATACTTGAATTGATATTGGACTCCCTACAACTCCCCTTCCTATTAGTAACTGGAGCTAATGTTTACACTTTCAGTCTTTAAGTTCATCATATGGGAACTTTACCATAAGCCATTAATTTAAGCAAAGAATGCAAAGAATTTAATACTAAAAAAGAATCTTGGGGGAAAATTGTATAAAATAGAGCAAATGAAGAAGTATGGAATAATTTTTTAAAACAGAGTAGAATGCAGAAGAGAAAAAGTAGAATCTCAGTCATAATTTACTAATATCTGAATCTGACGATCCTCTTAAGAAAACAGCTTTTAATTTAGCTAACAAGTATTTCTCGAATGTTACAGAATAAACCCAACAAATCGATGCTACTTTCATGCATACTAAAAGGGACAAACGTATGTGAAACATTGTTTGGTTTGCCCCAAATTCGGAAATTAACAGTGTGCGGCACTATTAAGCTGTGGCGCTATTGATTTTTTTTTTTTTTTAAATAAGGGTTGGATATTACATAAACTTGATTTGTGTTGGATGTTACATAAAATTGATTTCTAAGTATAATCAGATTTTAATTAAGATATTAAGTAGCGCTGGCAGTATGCATATAAAACTACAAAGATTATGTTGACTTTCTATCTCTGCATGTTAAAAGAAAATCAAATATATAGCTTCAGAAGGGTTTTATAAAATCATTTGTTTTAAAAATATCAAAGAATTAGTCAACAAGCATTACTGACAAAATAAACAGGGTTATAGAACACTAAACCTAAGTCAAGGGTTTAAATTCTAGCCTTAGTGCTACCAGAGAAGTAAACTATATAACCCTGAAGAAGTCATTTTTAACTTAGCTCTAGAATAGGAGGAGCAGCATGTAAACAGTATTTGCTAAACTAGAAACCTCATATGTATACATTAACTCACTAATTCCTTAATAATCCTATGCATTTGATACTATTAGCTCCATTCAATAGCTTAGAGAGGTTGAACAACTTGTTCAATACTGTAGAGTATAAAAGTATTAGAGATAAACCTAGACTCCAGGTCTATGTGACTCAAGTCGCAGAACTTTCTTTGGCTTCAGCTTCCTCTGTAAAATAAAGATGCTGAGCTGGCTCATCTACATACATGATTTCGTTTGATCATCCCAACAATGCCAAGAGACAGGGTATTAATACTTCTTACCTTTTTTTATAATTAAGGAAACTGATTTTCCATACAGTTTAAATAGCTTACCTGAAGTCATACAGTCTCATACCAAGTTCTTCTATTACATCACACCAAATGATCACTAAATGCTTTGTTGGTACTTCAGATTCATTAGACCATAGTCTCGAAGTACTAAATATACTGATATATCACATGGTAAGAATATTAAAATTCTAAAATGCTTTTCATTTACAGACACTAAGGCCTAACCCCTCACCGTCCTTTGTAAGACATTCACTTAGATATAATCTTTTTACCTTTGATATTAAAAAGCTCTAGTAGTCATGGTTATTAAAATACTAAACATTCAGATTATAACTCTTGGGTATTTGATAATTAGATAATTTATTTCTAAAGTGTTTCTATAATTTCACAACTGGTGAAGAGCAACCTGCAGTTGTGCCAAAAACTTATTTTTCTGAGAATTACCATTTCTAAGATGATTAAATATAAGAGCAGTAATTAAGGTGGCAGTAAAGCATTTTATCTTAAAAAAAAAAAAAAAGTCTAGCTACCTTATACAAACAGGTGTCGACTACTTCATTGCAAACTTTCTCAAGGTCATCAGTGACTTCAAGTCTGGATCTTACAAAATCACAGAGCTCTTCATTTCCCATAACATCCCAAATACCATCACATGCAAGAATAATGAACTGATCATCTTCTTCAGATCTTTCAATATCATGGACTTCAGGCTCTGGTGAGACAAGCTGCTCTGTAGGACCTTTTCCATGGACACATTTGTAATCAAAGTCCCCAAGGGCCCTCGATACAGCCAGAGAGCCATTCACACGCTGAATCATTACAGAACCACCTGCATTCTGAATTCGTTCTTTTTCCAGTGGATTACTTGGTTTGTGATCTTGTGTGAAGAAGTGAACTTTCCTGTTCCTACAAAGTAAACCTCTCGAGTCTCCACAGTTAATGAAATAAGTATGTTGAGGGGAAATTAAGACACCCACAGCTGTTGACCCACTTCTATCTGCACCATGTTTCTTCTCTGACATGACTCTCATGTGTTCATCAATCTCCAGAAAACCTGTTCTGATTCCATTCTTTACATTTTCCACAGAAGGTGCTCCTGAAGACCCTTTAAAATCCTGGTTATTGGTGATGTGATCTAATAAATGCTCACAGCAGTATTTGGCAACCTGAGAACCAGCATGCCCATCATACACAGCAAAGAATGACCATGTTTCCAGTCCACTTGGCAAACCAATCACAGCTGTATGTGCATCCTCCATTTCAACTCGCCAGCCTTGCATGCTGCTTAGCCCATATCGCAACCCATTACCCTGCCCCTGGGCATTATGTTTTTCCATCTTTGGCTTGTCTAAAAATGCTCCCATTATGTCTTGATCCTTTAGGTCTGCAAAGGAAGAAAAACAAAAAAAGTTAACCAATTTGAAAACAAACTACATATCCAACACCTTTTTTTAAGAGTGAAGGAGATACAAAGAAAGCTTTCAATAAAAATTCACAACTCTTGTTATAAGCAGATGCTCACTGTATTACTGACTTGGAGATTAGCAAGGAAGAATTTGGGGAAAGATTGATCAGGCACAGCTCAGAATGGGCAAAAGGCAGACAGAACTAAAGCATCAGGATAAAGGTATCAGATCTGACACTATCTCCAAGGCACAACTGCTTGAGTAGAAAGAAGACTTGGCAGTGACCATCAATTTACATGAACCAGGCTAAGCATTTAAGGATGCACGTGAATCTCTTAGGGAATCTCAAAACTGAGTTGTATATGTATATAAATCTAGAAAAGCAAAATGAATTCACAGGACATACCAAAAGACTACATTTTAGCTGAACATTCAAACTTTCCAAAGTTTGATTCTGAACTACCTAGTTTTACCTCTACTTCAACCCTCTGAAAAAGTAAAAAATGATCTACTCACAGTGGTCCAAATTTGCACACTTTCCTTTAAGCCTCTGCTCATGTCAGTCCCCTTAACTAGAATCCCTTGCATCACCTCCATACTTATAAAAAAAGTATACCCATCCATCCTTTAAAGTCTAGACCAAATTCTACCATTTTCCATAAGTTTTCAGTCTTTGATAAAGCCAATAAGTTATTAAATTACTATAAACAGTCTAGCTTCAATTTTCAAGTTGCAAAGTAATTATACATACATATAATGAAGATTATATACAACAAAATTAATCTCCTGGCATCCTATTAATCTAGTGGTAATAACATGTATCATTATTATTACATTCTATGACCATTAGGTAGCTTCATTAACAATTCTTTCCCAATAATCAAAAGCTAAAACCTCTGGTCTAGAATGGGCAGGCCTACACAAGGCAGGGAGACAATCGGTCAGGATTTAGGTTGGCCTTTACTTGAGTAATAGCCTAGGAATGTAGAGACTTAGGGTGCAAGTCATCAAATGAGTCACATCTGAACACAAAAGCAATCTGAAAAAAGAATGAGATTTAATGGAAGTGAAGGGGAGATAAGTAGTAGGCAGTAGGGATGGGGAAAAGTACCTATGTTAATCAGGATGCAGTTATGATACTGGGGGATTAATGATGCTGGTGATGCTAAACTCTATGAAGCTAGGAGAGAAAGAGGAAGAAGAAAAAATCCTTAAGGAAAGAAATAATTTACCAGCAACCATGCCGTTCTTTTTCCTACTAATAATGCAGGCAGAAAGTCTGGCTGATTGGTGCGATAAAACAATCTCCTGCCTACTCTGCTACCCTCTATTACAATTCCACTAATGGAAGGCAAATAATGAAAACTAACCATCATTCATTCCTTATGGTGGTATTCATCAGATTACCTTTCTGACACCAAGCTGATATTATGATTAGGGTGAGTGTTCTGACTGAACAAAGGTTAACATAATGACACATTAATGTTTAAAAAGAATTCTAAAAATAACTTTTACAAGCATTACCTCATTCATTCTTTTCAACAACCCTCGAAAGTGGGTAATAATATTATCTCCATTTTACAGATGAAGAATCTTAGCGAGATTGTCATCCTCCATAAGTGGACAACTAAAAATTATTTTATTTAGTCAAATTATTAAATGGGCATATATCTAGACCCCAAGAGGATTCAATTTGTCCATGAAGGTTTAAGTTAGTTTCTGAGAGAAATTCTAGTTCTCATCTAGTCTTAATTCTATTCTGAGCACATGCTGGGTCTCATTTAATACTAGTAGTTTCAGTTCATTTTAACTTTTCAAAGTACTATAACAATCAAAAGAGTGAATTCATCAATAATATAACCAGGAAATCTGGTGAAGATTTTTGTCTTTCAAAACCAAACTAACTCCTAAATTGAAAAATTCTAAGGATGGGCCACAAAGTCATTCATTAAAGTTCAACCACTGTGTTTTATTAAGCAAAACTGATCTCATAATCATAGCAGAGTCTTGAACCTGGTCATATGGTTTCATGCCCTCAAAATCATCCCAAATTATAAAGAAGCTCTATATATAGTATTCCACTGTTAAGATTCCTTAGCAACACATTAGCTCCGAAACAAGAGTTATTCAACTGATAATTTGGGCAAAGTCCTTTAGCAAAAAAAATCGAAAAATAAAAACCTCTGAGGTTTTTTCCTGCTTACCTATGGACAGAGGGTCTGATATAGAACACCACCAGGCTCCATAAACAGAGGACAAAACAGACATGTGCGAACAATATGGAGAAAATTATTTTCTCTTAGCAATCGATATCAGAATTCTTCTTAGGGCAAGCCCTGCTTTCTCTGAGCAACACGACTTTGATCAGATATGTAAACGTAGGGGGTAGGGATCAAAGGATGTACTCACATAACCAAAGATCACTGCTAAACAGGCATCTGAAGGAGGGGAGATGCTGGTAACTGAAGGACCTTAGTTTGATGAGCACTGAGATAGATTTGGTTATAAAAATTGGGGAGGAAAATCTGGAGTAAATCTGCATAAGAAATAAGAAATCTAAAGGTTGGGGGAAATCCAGAGGAAAAAAACTGTAAAGCAAGAGAGACTAAGTAAACAGCAAGTTGCCTCATCTCTGAACCCCCGGTGGGGGGCGCGGGGGAGGAGGGGAGAGAAAAAAATGGAATGCTAGCAGCATAGTAGCAGTGTATAACAACATGGCAACATTCAAGTTATCTGCAGTGGAGTGTGGGATGTAAACTCTCTACTACTATCAAATCTTTAGTATATGCTACATTGTCCACTAATGCTTATATAAATGAAATAGACTTTGTCAAAGGTGAGGACAAATGGTCAGCTGACCTCTGGAATGCACAATAGAATATCAAGCAATATATTATGTAGCTGGGGTTCAGTAAAGAAACATCTCTGCATCACTCTGCAAAGGATAATTTAGGGTACACAAACTATTTTACTTCCCAACCTGAGAGACATGGTAATTCACAAATCATATTTTATAATCCAAAGCAGCCATCTCAAAGTTATGTATGGTAAACAAATAAGCACATGAACAACACTTTATAGCAATTTGAGGGAAAAAAAAAGGCTAACCTTTGGGTAAATTTCTTCCCATTTGGGGTCTGAAATTTCCCACTGATCATTACTTTAAAAAATGATTGCATGTATTTACATTTACAAATTTTATTTTGATAACTTGTGTAATTATTGTCAAAATGTAGAAAACCTATTTTACAAATGAGAAGGTGCAGAGAAATAGAATGGTTTGCCCAGTTCACAAAGGCAGTCCAGCAGTAAGGTTATGAATAGGACTTATGTTTCTGGCCTTGCATTCCAATTCCCCTACATATGCTATCCTGTATACTTAGAAATGAAGTAATGAAAATCTAAAAACATATACTTTTTAAAGACAACAAGGCAGAAAGGTAGAAAAGACTGTTGCAGAACAAAGCTGAAAGTGCCCTTAGTGCCATTTCTTTCTCTGTCTACTCTACATTTGTCTTTGTTTTCTAAGATAAAAATAACCCCTGCCCTCAAAAAACAAGGAAGGAAGGAAAGGTGAAGAAGAAAAGAAAGAAAAGCAAGAACTCTAAACTTTTTTTTTGGTCTGGGACTAACAGAAAACAAGTGAAATAACTGCAATTTCTGGCAAAGCCAATTTCAAATACTCAGGCTAAATAAAACACAACAATGAGCAAAAAAAACCAAACAAACATTTTTAACTGTCAACTGAAAAAAAAAAAAAGCACTCTTGAAAGTAGGTTCATGGAAATGAAAAACAATTACTGGACTGAAAATTTCAATAGAGACAATGAGTAGAAATTGGAGACCACAGGAAAACAACAAACTTATAAATCAGATCACCTCAAGGAATTCTCTTAAAATTCAGGTCTTTCCTCATCTTGCTGATTCCAAACATATAAAACCCACCCACCTCTGCACCTATCCTATCCTCATACCTTTCTGTTATAATAGAGAATCTGTCCTCTCACTTCAGGTAAATACCTCTACTAAAGCTCTGGAGTCCATGCTTCAAAGGAATCTTATATGACTTTACATGCAATGTCTTCTCAGGAACCTTATACTATTATCCTCTATCCTTTATTCCACCTCTCCCTCTCAACTGGAGTACAACTTTTAAAGACACTCAAATGTCACCCATTAAAAATACTTTTAAGTCTTTATGTGACTCATTCCCCTCTAGTTAGTTCTCCTTTCTTCTCTTTACAGTTAAACTTCTTAAAAAAAAAAAAAAAAAAAAAATAGCACTGATACTCCAAACTGCTGTTAGGCCATTCCACTAAAACAAACTCCCACAAGTTGCTTAATCCAATGAACGTTTTTTCACAGCAACATTCAACACAACACTCCTTCTTGAAACATTTTTCCCATTAGTTTTACAAGATGCTATACACTCCCAGCTTTCCTCCTACTCTTAGCTTTTCCATCTTTGTCTCCTTTGCAGGCCCCAAGTCCATCTCCCAAGCCATTAAATATTGACATTCAAGGTTAAATGTAGGCCCTCTTCTCACTCCACACTGGCTGCCTTTCACATATCTGCAGCTTTTGGTAGCGAATGGCACCATCGTCTATCAAAGTGAATAGAAACCGAGGACATATCTTTCACACCTCTTTCTACTTTATCTCCCATTAGTCCATCATTAAGTCCCATGGAAAATACGCTTAATTTTTTCTCTAACACTTTAGTCTACAAGCTACCATCATCTCTCACTGCATTATTCTATACTAGCCTCCTATTTTGTCTTCACATGCTTGCCGGCCTCCTCCAATTCATTCTACAAACCAAAGCCTAAGTAAACTATTCAAAATACAAATTTTGAGGGGGAAGGTAGACGGGGGGAAGGGGAAATTTTAAATCATTTCTTCGATTAAAAAAATAATAATAAAAATTTAAAAAAATTATTTCATAAACCAAAAAAACCTCACCAAAATACAAATTTCG